GCAACTCTTTTTTTTTCCGGAAGTTAAAAATTTTAAAAGGAAAATCCGGATTTTTAAAGTACTATTTCCAGCCCTGGATGTAAGATTCTTGTCAAAATCTGGAATGGATATTTCAGAATGGGAATTTGCAGCATATCCTAAACATCCGAAAGTTATTGGTGATCGTTGTAGATCAGCCAGAATCAATCAAACTATACTTAACAAATTATTGAGTTTTAAATTGTCTGACGAAGAAGTTGATAAAATTAATGTTCCTTATATCCAAATTGCTGGAACTAATGGTGAGATTATGGTTGAAGATCTAGTAGAAAGTTTTTATGTAGTGTTTCCAGGAAGTAGATTCGAGATTCCAACAAAAGTTCAAGAGATTGAAAAACTTAAGGATTCAATAAAAGCCTTTAAATATTGTTTGGTAATACAAATATCCCTTTTATTATGAGAAAGGTTTACATATCATTATCTTAATACAAGTTATGTGTCAATATTATTTAAACAGGAATCATTTATTGAAACAAATAAGATAATTGAGAAGAAACTCCAAGTTAGTAGTAGTCATCCATTTAGCAAAATTTTTGACAAAGAAGATATCAGTTCACCTGCTGGTCATTACAAATCTAAGTTCATCCATCAGTCATGGTGGACACCTAAAAAAGGAGAGACACAAGTAACATTTAGAGAATGATATGAAAAAAAAATTTATCTTTTTATTGCTTATAATATTAATATGTTAACATATTTAAAATTTATTGGAATTTTTAATTTTATGAGAATTCAAATAATTTACTTGATTGACATTATTTGTTATGTAGAAATTAAATAACATGCAATTTAATTTGATGTTATTATTATTGTTGCTTAATATTTTCTTCTTTTTACAAAGGATTAATTAATGAATAAATTGCATTGATACACTGACAGAATTATATATATTTCAGAAATGACAGAAATGAGGAGTTAATCCATTATTAATAGTGCTAATGGAATACATTTGATTCTCTTCTTAAGACAAGATAAAACTCATATAGAAAGTTCATGTGATGGAGGTACTTGCTTCAGAACTTTCTTTGCAAATACAATGCATACCCCTAAGTTTATTATAAATTCCCTTTTTTTTTGTTTTAATATGAGCCATTGTTATCAACATTACCACACTAAAGCTCCACACGAGCCAATTATTTCTATTAATTAAAAAATAATACAAAGTTGGTTTCTGTTTTCATAAATATCACCATTACTATTGTCCTGTAAAAAAACTGATCCGTGATTTAAAATTCCATATTTTCTCTGGAAAAGTATCACATTCGTGGAAAATCATGGGAAGATTACAGGGGAAAAGACAGACTTTGTATCTGTTGCAAATTTGAGGAAATTTTCAAGGTCTAACAACCATTTGGTGAATTGAAAAAAAGGGTCGAGTACACCTGGTAACAGGGTTCTGCACCAGTCAAATTTGTTCTTTATGTTGTGAGAAAATTTTTATGGATGCATTTGAATCATGACATCAATGTCTCTTGCAACATAAGACAATTTTTTTTGCATATTTAAAAAACCGGTAGATTGGTTCCGTCATAATTTAAAAGAAAAGAACCAAATTTTCAGCTTGACCAAGTTGACTCACAACTATAGTGATCAAGCTAGGCTTTTAATTCTCCTCTGCGGAATGAGTTTAAGGCTGTAACTTGTTATCAATACATATTGTCCTTCAGTAAATTTTCCTGCAAAGGGGAAAACAACTTTTAAGAAGATTTTGTGTTGAGAAATTTACAATGTTTAATAATTTGGTCTCTGAAATTTTTGTGAGGCACTATGTTCACTTTGTCTGGTTTTGTTGCAGCATGCCCCATTTACATTAATTAACATACATTATTACACATTAATTAATTATCATATGTTATTTATTATTCATAATAACACATCATCTATAATCTTAATAATAATAATAAATAATAATACATCATTAATTGTGCGTTACTCGTTGTAATTTATAATAGCCAAAAGAGCAAGGATCATCACCACGTTATATCAAAGATAAATGACGTCAATAAATATAATGTATTAGTATATTTATTAATATGAAAAATCCTTTAAATCCGTTAAATCAAGATAAAATAATTATAATAATAAGTCTCGAAAATTTATCAGTTGAATCCTTAAATCCGCTAAATCGAGACTCACTGAGTAATAAATTTATTCATATTGCTACCAAGTTAATTTTTGGTGAGCAAATTTAATTGATGACAATAAAATAATAGGCCGTGAGGATCGAACCGAATAGGTTATTTAGTAGTGAATAGCTTTGAATATGGTTTGATTATTTTTCAAGTCAAAACTTCTTTTACCCAAGAAAAGTTACCTTTTAAAGTGCATGGAATTCGAATCGTTTATATACATTAGAAGACTACTTTCTCCATTGTGTCTCGTCGACTTTGTCGATTTTGTCAATACAAATTAAATAGAGCACGCACATGCATTTTGAAAAAAATCGAAAAATCATACGAGTATAACTATCATTCTGCAATTTATACAAAAGTGGAATTAGCTTGACCACTCTTGGACCGGGAGAGTATGTTAATGGCATAACGCTGGGCAACTAGTAGGGTGCAACCCCTTAGGTAATACGATGAGGTTGGTAAACTATACCTCGAATCTTGTTGGACAAATATAACACAAAGCGTTGAGCTCGGAAATTAATTTTTGGTTACAAATTATTAAAGATATGTTTCACGATTTTTAGTTTCTTTACTATATATAATAATATTCTATAAGTTTTATTCTATATTTTTTTAAAAAAACTAATATGACAAACTAGATTAAATTAAAAATTAAAAATTAAAGATTAAAAATTAAAATTAAAATTAAAATTAAAAATTAAAAAATTATTTTTTTCTAGTGTTTTTCCTCTCTCCAATTGTCTAATTAAAAGTCCGAACTATTTATTACCCAACTAATTATGGAATTATTATTGTTTAAATTTATTAGATTATCAGAAAATAGATTATTTTTATCAGTTTGATTAGCAATAATGGTGGAAGCAGGAATAGCATCTGTTGATGATGCTTTGGTGGTAATTTGAGATTCAACAGCAGAAGTAGTTGAAGTTATAGTTGCAGTTGGTTCAGTTAAATTGGTAGTTGCAGTTGTTGTTTTATTAGCAGAGCCAATGCCCAATGTAATATTTTTAAGTAAACCTTGTATGATAGGTACAAAGTTTTTCAATACAGTTCTAGGTAAATTTTTCAAGAGGTCATTTAACCAACTAATTGGCCCCGAGTCAGGTTGATCAACTGTGATTTTTATGTCAAACGCTTCATCGAATTTTGGTAAGTCGATAATTATTTGTGGAATTTGTAACACATCCAATGTCAATTTTGCTTCGATCGGTATACTATTTTTACCTTGACCTTCGAGTAAATTGTTGATTATGATTGAGCTTTGCGAAAATATCTCAAATATTGAATCACCCCTGTTTTCTAATGCAAATTTAAAATTACCAATATCCATATGTAATGGACTGGGGTTAGTAAATGATATTAGAAGGTTTATTGGCAAGATTTTTGTCAATGATACTTGAATGGGAGACCATAAGATTAAAGGAGGTGCCGGGAATATTATTTGATCGAATATCTTGAAGTCGTTATCTGAACGGCTTATGCAGTCATCTTTTTGGCATAAAAATATTCCACCGAGCGATACACCTTGTGTAAAAGATTTGAATTCCAATAAATTTGGTACTGCGATTTCCAGTGCTTTTGCCATGGGATCATTTTCTATGAAAATATCCAATTGAAAACTCCATTTCGGATCACCTTTTTTGATTGTTGGTCGAGCATTAACATTTGTAATCGAGTCCACGCCATTACCATTATTCATGAACACAACCGCCAAGAGTGAAGGCACATTAAATGTTAGAGGTAAATTTGGTATTGCTGGAGCTGTGAATTTCGCTACAACTCCTTGAGGTACAACTTTAGCCTGAATATCATCAATGACTAATAGGTTATTATCATTATTGAACTTGGCCGCCTGATTGATAAATTTACCAACATCTAAAGCAACACTTATTTTACTCATTAACGAGTAAGGTTTATCTGCCGAGCCACCAAATTTTATATTAGTTATACCAACGTTTTGTGTCACGATGTTTGTAAGCCTTCTAAAAACTATGTCAGCAGCAATATTTGCCAATTTGTTTGATATTGTTTTATTATCGGTAAATTTAAGATCGATTGAAGTTTTAAATTCTCCATTTTCTAATTTCAGGCCATTAATTACCGAGGTTATGTATTGTTCTCCATCGAAATTTATATCTATACTTGCAAATGGAACACTGATCGAGATTTGCTGGAGTAATCCAGCAATACTCGAGGCGAAATCAACACTCATCACATCTGGATCTTTTACTCCCAATATAATATCTTCTAACTTGAGACTGAGTGGACTTGTACCATCCAATAACCCATTGACTAATTTAAATGCTGTTTGTTTGATTGGTTGCAAAAGCGGATTTAATGGTAATGACAAGCTTACTTTAGACAATAGATTGATGTTATCATTTTCATTTTCTCCAAATAACAATCCGGTGACAAATGCATTTCCGGGTATAACATCATTTGTTTCTATGATAGTTTTAGCTATAGTGGCGATATCTTGTTCTAATCCATCAGAATCTTTTAATAACATTTCAACTTTAAATTCTGTCAATATTTGATTGTTATTTGTTGTTGTGATTTTAAGGCCGGTCATTGTTAACTGTGTTAGATCATTAGAATTCAACGATAATTTAACAGCCAAATAATTCATATCGACTGTGATCGGGAATGAAATGTTATTTAATCCGATTTGACCATCAACGACAATTGGGCCGGAATTGTCAGACGATAATAAGTTCATATTTAATTTCTGAATGCTCAACCTATTGATCAATCCGTCTATTGTAAGATCATTCAATGTCAAACCGATCATATTAAGTAATTTTTCAGCAAATTTTTGATTAATGATGGAACTTGATGGCAAACCAATGATGACTTTTGTTAAAGCTATGATAACATCATTCCCAGTTGCACCGATTTTAATGTTGTCGATTGTTATTAATTCTGTTGTTGATCCAAGTCCGTTTTTTTGTAAATTCGAAATGAAATCCGCAATTTTAGTTTGTGCGTCATCAAAGTCTGCGATAAAAGACACAACAGAAGTCAACGTTAAACCGTTGTTTGCTCCTGAACCAACTTGAAGGTCTTGTAAATTAAAGCCTATTAATGGCACTTTATCTAATCCAAGAGATAGCGACAAAAATCCTAAATCCATGCTGATTGGAAAATTATTTACAAAACTTGCTTTAAGATTTACAACAATTGATGGTCCAGTTGTCGAAGCTATATAGACTGATTCAAGTTTGAAACCGAATTGATCTAACAAAGTTATCGGATCTATTGATCTTGGTATATTTTTAAATATTGGAGTTAAGAGCTCATTCATCGACAGTTCTATGGAGATTTGTGAAAATGCTTTGATTAAATCGTCTTTTGAAGATCCGATTAACGGAGATCTAATGCCCAAAGTGCCTGAAATTTCTTCGTTATTAAAGAACGATTGAGTTATAGAGCCTATTTTATCGGATAAATCAACAACGTCGTCACCGCCTAATTTCATTTGTGTATTGATAGTGACCAATTTGCCTTGACTTGACGCTGAAACTGATAATTCCACTGCTGAAATGTCATCCAAAAACACATCAACGCCCGCAAAACCAATGTTCATTGTTAACGAAAACGGTAGTGTAATTGAAGTAGTTATGTCGACGTTAATTATTTGATCTGGTAAAACTTTAATTGCCATATTGCTTATTTCCATTTGAACTAAATTTGGTATATTGAGAGATATTGTTCCATTGCCAACTGAAATTATCGGTGTTGTACTGCTAGCCAGTTCGCTTAAAATTTTGTCTAGTTGTGATTTGAAATCTATTTTCCCGCTTACAAGATTACCAATTTCTGTTGATAATGAAATTCTTCCTAATGTCTTTATCGTGTCACTTTCGCTCACACCTAATACAACATCATCAATACCGATTTTCGTGGAAATAAAATCTCCGCCAGCCAGTTTATCCAATATAGTTTTGATAGAGTCGGGAATCACCGCATCATCATTGCTGAATCCCAGTTCTATTCCCAAGCTGACATCATTTTTACCGGATCCGCTGATTTTCAATCCGGGAACAGTTACCGAAGTGAACGAAGAACCATCCAACGATAATTTCGTTGCAAAAAATCCAACATCAGCAACGATATCAAACGGAATTGTTAATTGAGCTCCTATTTGTAAACTCAGATGTCTATTTGATTTGGTTGATATATCGACCGACGTTAGTTGTGGTGCAAATCCACCCAACAATTGATCTATACCAAGTGGTAATTTAATTGGTGATAGTTCCATTACTTTATTAATGATGGTCTCTACGTTTAAAATTTCTATTGGTAGATTTAGATTTAACAGGCTAATCAAATCGTTGGAATTATTTGGAGCTTGACCAAAATAAATTTCTGACAAAGACACTTTTTGAGAAATTTGTTTATTTAAAATGTTGTCAACAAAAGTGTTTAGGGATGTTTGAGCGCCTTCCGAATTATAAAATTTTATTACTGCGGAAGGAGACATTGTGCCCCCTCCTTCACCACGCTTCAATTCAACATTTACAATCGACATAGATACTATGGCGTTATCGTCTAATGATAATGTAAAGTACAAATATGGAATTCTCACACTCAATGGTAATGGATTTATGTATTTAAAGAATGCACCAGCTATCAAATTTGCATCTGCTATAGTTTTGACAGTCACACTTTGTATGGTAGGTAAGGTCAATTGTGTTTGATCGTTTGGCAAAACACCAGTAAAATCTATAATAGCGTTGCTAGGATCTTTAATTATGCTGGAGATATCGATAGATTGAAGTTTTGAGGCTGGTATAAGTGATGACGGAACAGTTATTTTCGTGGCATTAAATTGGTCAATTGTTGCGGCAGTCGTGTTTCCTTGAGGCGTCGTTATAGGTGGTGAAATTACAATCCCAGTTATTCCAATGACAGATTTGAATTCCGCTCCTTCTTTAGCAGTAATATCTTGGAACAATTGTAAAACATTATTTGACATTCCATTTGCACCGGTTGCAAGTTCAATTACCAAATCAATGTTCAATGGACTTTGACCAAGAAGCAATTGAATCGGTGACACGCTAATTGTTGCTAATTTTCCATCATTCAAAATCACCCCAAGACTTATTTGACCAATATTAGCTGTGATATTTGTTGGATTGTTAAGCGTCGATTGCATTTTTAATGATACGGATGTGCTTGTTTGAATATCTAAATCTATACCGTTGAGCTTCAACAATCCTTTTTGTTCTTGAATCGAATTTGTCATAGTTTCTATGGCAGTCTAAACAATAAACCACGTGAGATTAGTTGGTATAAATATATAAATAAATGCAAGTAGATATAATAATAATAATAAACATTATTTTCTTCATACTTTTAAAGCAGGTTTTAATGTACTGAGGTTAATTGGTACGATTACTTTACTAAATGTAACAAAATTAACCTGTTGGCTTGTACCCAATATGACATTACTGACACCTAAAATCGGCATTGGCAAATCATTTTCACTTAATACTCCATTAACCAAGTCAGCGATCTTCAAAGGTAATTCGATATTATTCTTGTCTAGTAATGCTGATGCTACAATTGAAGTAGAGGGCTGGTCGGTTGTATAACTGATACCATTAGGTAAATTGGCAGTCAATAATAAGCTACTGTCAATATCAACAGTGGTAGAGATATAACCAGTATTGATGGCGATTATTGGTAATTGTGGTGGATATTGAATTGTGACGTTTCCGTTAATATCAAATCCAGAAACGTCAGTTCTTTGATTTAAAGCTAGATTGATTATTTGAGCCGGTATGTTTGTACCGTTTTGAGTTAGCATATTTACAATTGAAGTGAGATTGAAACCTGGTATTGGGATTGTTAGAGTGAGATTGCCTAAAAGTTGATCGGCCCATAAAAACATTTTATTGCTATTATCTAGAATGTTGAAATTTTTTACGTCTGCGGAACTGATTTGAGAATTCAATGCTGGATTTACAATTTTCCCAAGAGCATCTGCTGCTAATAAAGTATTATTTGGAATAATTTGTGCTGTTGTTTTTATTAACAAATTATCATCATTTGTCACTATGATTTAAAAAAAAGAATTAATCATGAATAAATAAATAAATAAATAAATAAATAATATATATATTTCATGATAATTAAAAAATCAAGTTACTTGATATTCCATCTAAAATGATATCCAGTGTATTTTGATCATTTTTGAATAGACCTAACGATGTAGTATAAGGAAAATCAAACCTTGGAAGCAAAGGCAAAAATGAAGGCATTTTAATCTCAATTGGTACAACAATTCGATCATTTTGAACATTGACATTAAAATTCACGGTGTGCAAAATGCTTTCAACCCCTGACACATTTAATAAGTTTGACAATAATTTAAGATTTGTCCTATTAACGATTTCATTTATTGGTAGGATCAAAGATAAGTGTTGAGTTATTTCAGTGATGGAATCGATACCGGTCATTTTAATTGGACCTATGACATTGAGACTCAATCCTTCGTTGTCAGGATCTACACCAAGTATTTTACCGAATGCCTTAGATACAGAATTACCAATTTGATCGGAAGTCACTATTCTATTTGGATCAAAAGTCATTGACAAATTCAAGTTAAGGGTGTTTAAACCACGGGTCAATGTGAATCCTTGGATACTTGTAGTTGCAAAATAAGAATGTTCCAATTCTATGGCAATTGAAGTGTCTGGTATTGGAATTGATAAAACTGTTGGATTTTGCATTAATAGAGACATTGATATGATAGGACCATCATCAATAAGTTTTACATCAAGAGTTTTAAAATTTATTGGTGGAAACTAATAAACAACAAAAATGATTATTATTTAATATCAATGTTTTTTTATAATAAAAAATAAACATCTACCCCAGGTAAAATTTGCCAATATTCGATTCCATCGATGACAAGAGGTTTTTCGATTGTTGAGTTAACACCTCCAACGTTGACACTTTCTGTTTCAGGCTTTGTTTCTGTAATATTTTTCACTATAAATAAATATAATTATTAGATTATATATCAATGTGTATATATGTGTATATATATAAATATAATGGGAGAGGGAGAGAAATTAGCTTACTATCAGCAGACATTATGAAAGGTGGCATATTACTCCAAAGATTCATTAAATTACTATCCAGTTTAGGTAATGGTATTGATTTTGAAATTTCTAAATTCTTATACCAATTAATTCCAAACATACTTACAGAGATGCCAGTTGAAGCAACCATATTTGTGGCATTAATTCCACCAGGAGTAGAAATTTTTTCCAACAGTGATGACAAAGCACTATTATCCTCGAATGTGATGTCACCTTTGAATTTTAAATCAATAGGTTCGCCAATATTAACATTCATTTCAGGTACAGAAATTATTAATAAATTGTTATTATCTTGGTCGTGAACAGTTAAATTTATTGGATCTAATTTTGCATTTAAAGGCAAGAAAAATTGTTTTGATAAATGAGCCTCCCAATCAAACGACAGACCATTTGATCTCCAATCCACTATATCCATATAATCGATCGATATATCATTTAGATTTACACTTGAAATTTTATATCTTACGAAAGCCGGTATTATTACAAAATAGGTTAAAGGAGTGAATATCAAAGTAAATAAGAGACATAATATTGCCAAGTTAAGACAAAAGAATTTTCGTTTTGTTAAACGTCCATTACAATATCTTAGCCTTGGTTCTTTGTCAGCAGGCTCATCAATTGATTTTATGTATGTTGGATGATACCATGATTTTATTTTTGCAAACAATGACTGTTTTTTTGTTATTGATGATATTATTACTTTGTCGTCATCGTTGTCATCATCATCATTGTAATCGGAGAATTTTGTTTCGTCCTCGTTATAATCTGAATCGGAAGTTATGGTGGAATTGGTAATGGTGGTGGTGTTGTTGTTGTCGTCGTCGGTAACGTCGTTGATGACGATTTTGTGAAACGGGGATTCGTTTGACACTAAAAAACGAAAAATATTAATTAATTAAAGGAATTGAATAAATAAAATAATGCGTAAATGAGAGAAGACTTGCTTTTTTGATTTCTATATTTGATAACAATAATAGCGTTATTGTTATGCTATTACAATCAAGATTTTATGAAACAAGTTCAATAAAATGCTTGATTATTTGTTATTTACTTTCTAGCAAAAAAAAAAAAAAATATCGAAATCAAAAAAAATCAATACACACGACTTTGAATTTGATTCAAAGTTAGACAATATTAAAGAGAGGAAAAGCACTTTAATTTTTATTTTTCAAAAATAAAAAATAAAGCGTTGAAGTGAATTGAAGGAAAGTAAGGGAGGGAGGATTAGAGGTCGAAGAAAAAAAATAAGAGAGTATTAACAGTATTTTATTCCTTTTCATTTCCATATTTGAAGATGAATAACGATTTTTTGCAACTGTTCCAATTATGGAAAATCTTTAAAACTTATATAAATTTAGTACGGTTGGCGTCACTGATCAATCCGACTATAGATTTTTTCATGCCATCACGCATACAAATTTTAACTAATACTTTTTGAACCGCAATCAATAATTAGAATGTGTGCGCGCGCGTATACGTAAATATATAACAAAACGGGTTTAATACATTATCGCATTTATTGGAAGTTATACAAGTGTATGATTAGAAAAATTATCTGGCGCATTAACTAATTTTAGAAAAATATTTGAACAAAATAAATTTCTGTTAACCGTATATAGTTAGGTTGGAAAGAAAAGATCGCAAGGTCGAATTCAGTAAATAAGTTCATCGACTTGTTTTAAACAGAAAATCCTATAACTTTTAAATTCAGAAATAATTTAGATCTTTGATAAAGGATATGGAAGAAGGTGAGTCTTATAAAAGAGTGGCAGAAAATCTGGTCACTTTAGGGTTGATGACGGTTTTGTAACCATGTTATTAAGGTAGATGATCATGTTTGTGATACTGGTCATCATGCAAAAAATAGCCTATGAAAGAAGAAACGAAAAAGCGCAGCAAAGAACATAGTCTTCTATTATGTCAGCAAAAATGATTAATTGAAGATTTAATATTAGCTTTTGTTTGTGCTGATATACCTTTAGAAAAATTAAACTAAACAAATTCTCTTCTTCCTTTCTTTAATATAAAGCAGGGTGGATCTACATTACGTCAATTATTCAAGTGTCCGATAAACATTTTGATCGGTTGAAGTTTTTTATTTGAAATAGATGATCAGGGCTGGAAATAGGGTCTGAAAAAAAAAGGAAGTTCCTCCTGAATGCTAAAAATTTTCCGGAAGAAAATTTTAAAAAAAAGGAAATTTTTTTGGGTGCTAAAATTTCTTTACTTTATTCTTCTGTTTTTACTTTGAAAAATTTTACTAAGAGCATCACTAAAA